GACTGTAAATTTAGTGACCTTGATATTGTGGAATGCAGGAAGAAGGCGTCATTACTCAGTATTCAACATTTTGCTGGGCTCTTTTGGTGTTTCTAAACAAGGTTGTGCCAAATCTCCATGGCAAAATTTTCTGATGAGGATAATAAAATCAGGTCAGCGGTTTTGCAAGCTTTGGTCAAATTTGTCCCTTAGTTAGCCTAGCCTAGGTGTGTGATTAAGAACCACGAGTGGAGGAGAGGGGCAAAACTGAACAAATTGAGCAAAAAGGTGTTGTTTCCTCAAAATTCCTCACGTGGCTTCGCACATGTGAAATTTGAATGCAAGCATGTCACTTACTTTTTTGAAAAGCAAAAAAAAAAACATTTTCCCACGACCCTCTCCGTCCACGTGATCGACCTACGTTAAGATAGCCGGAAGAATGTTGGTTTAAAACTGAGTTTTGCGCCCTTCAGATAATTTGCAAGAAAGAGGGATGTCTTCCTGTAGAATGGGTTGTTAATCTGTCTTAGACAATCTCAAGGACTTTACTACTACCGTAAATCTAAGTTAATAGATTCAAAATGAACTGAATGAGATGCAAATTAAAATAAATGTTTATTGCACAAAAGGAAATCAGAGTAGTAAATATAGGAACTAATTTGGGTACTTGAATGCTGAAAACAATCTAAATTTACTGAGACTTATGCTAAAACTAAAATCTGAAAGCTAAAGTGAGTAATCTATACGAAACTAAAGAATTGAAAAATTGATGAGTTTTTTTGTTAAGGCTGGTCGTGTCTTGAAAAAATTAAAAAACTTTTATTTATATGCTTTCTGCAAACTGTCTCTTGCTGATTAGATCAAGGATAATTTCCTCCCAAATTCTAAGGATTTCTGTTCCTTTTAAATCTAAGCTACAACAAACTGGATAATCTTTATCCTCCCAACCAATTTTACAGATACACATTCCTTTAATGGATTTAATTTTTCCTTATCCATTAACATGTGGCATCACTAAAAAAATGCAATTTATGGTGCAAACAGGTATAGAGATAAAATCACTAAGGGTGGGTTTGGGATTGCGGTTGAGAGTTTTTTCGAGTAGCCATACAACACTTTTATATATATGTGTTTGGTAATATTTTTTCAAAATGCTTTTTTTAAAAACTGCAAAAAGTCACGGTAGATTTACAATAATTTTATATATAAAGCCAAAAGTCTCATTTTAGAGTTTTTTGGTTGTGACTTTTATAGGGAACACCTAATATTTAATATAATTACAAAATTACTTATTAAAACTTAATTTCATATAATTTAATTATATAATAATTTATAATACTTTAATAATTAGAAAATTTTAAAAACCTAAATTATTAAAAAATAATAAATATTACATATTTTAATAATTATATATCTTATAATATTTTTTAAATTTTAATTAATAATTAATAAAATCTATCA